AGACAGAGAGAGAGAGAGAAAGACAGAGACAGACAGACAGAAAGAGAGAGACAGAGAGAGAGAGAGAAAGACAGAGACAGACAGACAGAAAGAGAGACCAGTTAAACATGCAGGCAGCAGAGACCACAGGCTGGTTTGGTTGTTGGGTAAATCAGATTAACTATCAAGTGAGCTAGAAAAAGCTTTTAGCTTTTAACTCCTTCACCTTTTAACAACACAACCAACAAACTAACTAATTCACTGACTGATAACAAATTAATTGACCTACAAACTAAAATCAAAGCCAACTAACTGTCTCGTTGACAAAGTTTTGGAATGTGCTGATTCAGTGTTGGTTTACAGTTTATCCTGAGTAAGTGACAATATTATTTGACATGATTATTTATACTGTTCACACTTATTCTGTGACTGACAACTGAATGTCTCGTTTGCTAAAAGAGGAAAATTGTTTATAAGTAAAGTCGGACTGATTTATCTGTTGGCCAAAATAAAATCTGCCGATATCACAAACATATCAGTATCTGCATGTATATGTGCTGATACAGAATAAACAATACAGATATTTATAATAAAGTTGATGGTTAACTTTCAACCTTCACTTCCTTCCCTTTGTCATAATAGCATGTATATATCATGCAATATATCTGTCTCCGAATATTTTTACACCTTCATTTTAGTGACATCGGCCCCAAGAATCTATACGGGCTGGATTTACTGATGAACTGAATGATTTAACAGGATTAACAGAATAATGAACTTACTGAGTCCCTCAGTAACGAACTGTTTGGCTGTGTGATGAGCAGACTGACTGATTAACCCCATTAACAAGCTTAAAGTCTGACAAATTGACTTTTCACTGAACAAACTTAACTACTTGACAAAATGAGCTCCCTGAGAAATCTGAAGCCGGACTGAATGACCTGATTTACTGTTGGTGACAAACTTATTAGAACTGACTGACTGTTGGCAACAGCTGCAAGTTACTCAACATCCTCCCAAGTCATATTCTGAGAGAGGGATCCCTGCGTCACGGCTCTCTGAGGTGTTCCTCACTCTTGTCGAGGGTTAAGAACAGAGGATGTTACACCTTGTTAAAATGTATGAATATGAGCTTTACAGATAAAATTTGATTAATTATTAATCTTTACTATTTACAGTGTAATGTGTTGTTCAATTGTGTAAACACAATATCTATTGTGCCTCCTGCCGTCGTGGCAAAGGGGCCCCTCCTCAGCTGCTCGTCTTTTGCTTTAATCGGACTAAAACCCTTGAAGCAAATTTATAAAATTTCAGCTTCATAAATATAAACGTGTCTTGTCCTGACTCTGTTGCCGGGCTGAGGCTCAGAGCAGGAGGAAGTGTTTCTTTACTGCAGCCAGATGACTGAGGACAAGTCTGAACATGTCTGACACACAGCTGACCTGCAGCTGAAAGGGGGAGGAGGGGGAGGAGGAGGAGGAGGAGGAGGAGGGGGAGGAGGGAAATGATCTGTTTACATTACAACAGATCTGTCACTTAACTGTGGCTCACTGTCAAATGTAAACCTGCCGTTCTTGTTACTGCTGCCACTTGAATTTCCCTTTCTATACACTGACTGTATTAAAAGGTGTCTCCCTCTTTATTGTTTGAATAAACACAACAGCCCAAATCAAACACGCTGAAATAATTCACCTGCAGCAGCAGAGAATCTTCCACTGACTGCGACAGAACAAAACTGTCTGACGTCATAAATCAACAACTCACACACATTTTGTCACAGGATTGAATCAAACAATAGCAGAGACTTTAGTTTCCCTTTCAATGAATTTCTCCATTTGAGCCAAATAATTGGACACTGACCAATGTATCATTCATGAATAAAGATAACTTTTACTTAGAGAATAAACAATGGATAAAATATATTCTCTTTACAGGAGCTATTTATTACAAAATCTATGGTTAAACTTATTGAATGTGTTAAAATATCAACCCTCAATTAAATGTTTTGTCATAAGGGTTTGATAACAACTTAAGAATCATTGCCAGTCCTCCACCATTAATGTCCATCACTGCCAATGTAACCTCGTCTCACACCTCATCAGACACAGACATCATGCACTGTCTGGTCAACAAAACCAGGCTGAGCAGTTCTATTGTCTGAGTCCTTTGTAGCTTCATGACACACACGCCTGCTGGAGTCACGTGTGACGGCTCATACCGTACTACACCTCCACCTGGCATCCATCAGCTCTGCCCCAAACTGCCTGCTGTCATAGAAATACAGTCCCGAATGCAGCGTGCACACACATGCGCGCTCACACGCTCACACACACACACTTGACTTCAATGTTTACTAAAGGGTGGTGGTCTTTACAGCTGAGTCACATCTGACATTTTATTCATTTACATCAGAACCTGCATCCACTGCTTCTGTGATCCAGTAAAGCTGATCCAGCTGCAGCTCAAGGTTAAATGATTGTTAATGTGCTCTGATACAGATCTCCTTTCCCTGTAGGTGTAAGCAAGGGAAGGACTCGACCCCATGAGTGCAACACCTAAACTGTAATTTGTAAGATAAGCACTGTTTTGTTGCTGTTGATAAGTGAACAGATATCTTACCTGACTCCTCTCCTGACAAGGCACTGGGTTTTACAGCTCCTCCTCCTTCCCTCTCGTCCCTCTGGTTGCAGAGCGGCAAAAGAGGAGGTGCTGATGATGGCGACAACGCAGGAAGTTGCTGGTGCATCTGGGGCTGGTCAGGAAGTGGGTACGGCAGATTAAGAGGCTGCAAAGAATGCAGATGGTGGTGGTTGAGGTGTATGGCACCAATGCCAGGGCCAGAACGAGCGGTGATGGTGTTGGTGGTGAGCAGGCCGGGCAAGGTGTGGAGGGAGCGAGACAGCTCCATGCGGCAGATGTTGTGACGTGGAAGAGGGCTGTTTCCTCCTCCTCCGGTTTCCCCGACGCTCTCAATGGTCTCTGCTCGGGCCATTTGACAGGTCGCCTAAATCGCAGATGGAAAACATCCAAGCACATATCTAAATATATTGTTACAAGTGTGCATTAGACAGAGAATACGGCTGCATCAGACACATGATTATTGATTAGGTGATCACCCGAATATATTTTCAGTTGTTAGTTCATTACAAAAATAATCAGCAGATCAATTGAAAAATAAAATAAGTGCAAACTGAAGCTCTATATTAATATACATGAAACTGAATTTATATCAACACAAATAAAAAGAATCAAAAGCTAATAATAACTTTTACAAATACATCTAAATATGGGAGCAGATATAGAACAACAAGTATTTTACTGAATAAAATGGCCTCCACAATTCTTCAGTCTAATTTTAGCCCCATTGTTTTTTCCTCTCTTCAGCTCAGTTTGACCCACCGACCTACATCCAACCACCGGCCACTTGGGGGCAGCAGCGAGTCCGCTCCGGGAGCACGAGACTGGTGTTTGTAAACAGCACGAGCAGGCGCGCGCACACACACGGAGTCACGAGAGCCTCGGTTACGGCGGAAATTTAACGTAAAGTGGAAAACGACTCAGAACGATCAGAGATGAATTAGTGATGATGTGATTTTTAACAACAAACAGAACACTAGAAAAATAATAATTAATCCAATAATCACGAGACCTTTAATTTTCTACTGAACTGAGAGTTTGAGTCCAGAGAAATGTAATAATAGTAAATAAAATACAGTCGGTGGTGGTTTTCTCACCGAGGCCGGATGGTCCCATCAGGTCTGTTTTCAAGATGTTGAATTTATTCTAGTTTTATTAATCAGACGTACATCGACGCGGTTTGTCAGAGTGACAGGTCCCGACATGTCACTCGGACAAACATCCAGCTCACAGGGATCGAACCTGTGACTCCGCCCGAAGCGAAGCCGCAACTCGGATTCTCAGACTGAACCAAAGCGGGAGATCACGAGTGGATGTGAAAGTTTAAAGCCGCGCCTGACACCTGGACTCCGCACACACCGGGTCACACACCGGGTCACACGAGAACAAGAATCCTGCTCACTGGGTGGGTGTGGTGCTCCGTGGCTGCAGGTCCGGTTCCGATGGTACCAGCTGAACATGAGAGAATTCAGGTGATGATGCGACAGGTGATCACAACATGTTCGAGTCCGCTCGTGCGTTTGGAGGGAAAATGTGTCAGTCCATGTCAGGCTCTTCCGGTTTGGATTGTCTCGGTTAAAGTCAAATATTCGTCTCTGTCGGTCTTAACCCATCAGAACTGGGATCTGCCGACGTGCAGTGGAACAGAAGCAGCGATGGAGCAGAGCTGATCGTGGGTCCGTCCTTCAGCTCTGAGCTCTTTCTGCCTCCACATCTTTTATTTATGTCTCTGCCAGCGGAACTACACCTAACATCCGGGGAGGGCTTCCACAATAAAAGCCCCACACGAACCCAGAAATTGAACCACAATGAATTTTTTTTTTTTTTTTGCCTTTTTCTTCACGTGTTTACGTTTTACAGATGAAGTAAAGTTTTCAAAAATATTTGAATACTATTTTACATTGTTGTGGTTTAATTAACACTATGCTCTAACGTGTGTGTGAATGAAGACAGGACAATCCATTAATTTATCAACACAGAGAAATAAAAGTGATTAGTAATATGTGGAATATATAGAAGTAATTCATGACACATTAGCTGTGTGTCATGAATGTCATAGATGAGAAAATGTGCATATATTTGTTCAGAATGTCTTTGTGTGTGTGGAAATGTCCTGTTACACACAAATATGAAACTTGTACATTATTCAAAGCCCAAATAAACACTCAGAATACTAACTAGAGACATATTAGGTCTACCGTCCTCACAACAGATATACTTCTGTATGATTTATTTCCGATGCACCAGTGCAGAGTGTGTTTTATCAACATACCACCTGGTAAATCCTTTCGACGCCACTAACTAAATGCTTTTATTTTGAAGCCGGGGTCACAGTGTTGTCTGGTTAGCTTGACTTCTTGAACCAAACTCCTTCCACAACAAGTGCTGACATGCTCCCTGACAGGATGCTGCTGTCTGTGGCCCTCTCTCCACCTCCCTGTCTATTTGTCCTTCTGTCTAATTTCCTTTCTCTCCCTCTTTGTTGTTTTTATTTTTCCTAAATCAAATCATAGATTTTATGCAGTACTATAAATAGTAACAATGCATTTCCTTCTAGCTGTTGGTCGTGTTGATGTCCATCTCAAGTCCCC